GTTGATGCAGATACACGGACACACGGAGGAGAGGGGGCGCTGAAATTTTAACTTTACAGCAATTAGGAAGATGTGATTTAAATATACTTTAAATGTTTTTAAAAAAATTATTCGGTATTATTGTAAACACGGGTTGATAGATGTTTATTTTTATAAGCATTATAACATAGCCCAAATAGCTATATTGAAAATAAGTTAAATTATCTGAAAATACAATTCAAGTACTAAGTTTAGTGATGTGTTTGCTAGATTAAAAGAAGCACTTGAAAATATATCTAGTAAAACAATTAACTATTGTATACAAAAAAAAAACTATAAAATGGTTAATTTATATTATGACATAAAAAAACGAGGATGTCTGATTCAGATCTCTCTGTTACTAGCGATTTTGACTCTTCTGTTTTTTAATTTATTTTTATGATTTTAGCAGTGTAAACCGGATATAAGAGAGTTGTCGGGACCGGAGAAGAAGTCTCTTATATCCGGGTTTGGTCTATTTTATATACATTAACACAGGCTCTAATTTGGGACCGGAGAAAATCTCTCTTATATCGGGGTTTCTCTTATATCCGGGTTACACTGTAATATGAATTACTTTTAGTTTCTATTAATTAATAAATTTAAAATTTATATATTAATTACTAATTTTTAATTAATTACTATTTGTGCTCAGTTGTTCAAATTAATAGCTGTCTGTTGTGTTAAAACTTTGGAATAATGCCATAATAAAAATTTATTCAGTATTATTATTGTTTATGTAATAAACATTATAACATATCACAAATAGCTACAGTGTAACCCGGATATAAGAGATTTTCTCTGGTCCCGGATATAAGGGACTTCTTCTCCGGTCCCGACAACACTCTTATATCCGGGTCACACTGTATATTGTGGAAAAAAAGGAATTTTCAACAATATACGCATTTTTTTACGTATTTATGGTTACTTTTTAACTTTTATCAAAAACGACATTCTTGTACATGTAGTTATGGATAATATTATACATTAATTACTATTTTTTTAATTAATAACTATTTGTGATCAGTTGCTGATATTAATAGCTATCTGCTGATGTGTTAAGATTCTGGAATAATGCAATAATAAAAAATTAAATTTCATCTCTCTGATAGATGTCGCCATCTGTTAAATTAATCTTTTTTTCTCTTTTAATTATGTGTTTTTACTCCCCAAGGACATATGGCTCAGTGAATGGTTGAGTCATGCCCAAAAGTGACTTGACCCAAAAACTGGCAAAAAATGTATGTATAGTGTATTTAGCGACTCGGATTGAAGAATCGGAGAGCCGAGTTCGAATTCCAGTCGAATCCATTACATTCACTTACGTGCTAATACCCTTGGGAAAGGTATGAATCTTCTTCTCCCTCCAGATATGGTAAATAGCAAGACAGACTGGGTTCTATAGCCTTAGATGGCAACTGGTTTGCCACAGAAAGAAATGCGGGTAAAACTGCCTCGTCAGTCATGTATCAAAAGATACATGATCACCCAAGCGTGTATTGCGCATGATTGACTGATAGTGTATTTCAAATATCATTGAACTTATTGAAAGGTAAGCTTAATTTTATATATATATATATATATATATATATATATATATATATGTCTTAAGATGTGCTATCTTTATGGGATAAAGTGCTCAATATCAGAGATAGAGCGTATGTAAATATAAAAGTGAACATAGAAGTCAACACTTAGAGGGGACAGTCTGTTTCATGCTAGATGCAATCGTCAGGCAACGAGTGCTGTTATTTTTTCTCTGCTATTTATATATACGGGTCAGGGGTGCATTGTGGGTAGTCTATTTTAGCGATTATTTTACCGTGAGTCGTTTATTTGGGTTAAATTATTTTGCTTGTTTTTATTTATTTTAATTTTTTTCATTTTATTTATTTTTTTTTTTTTAATTTCTTATCTTATATATTTATTTATTTATTTATTTTATTTTTATTTCAATCGGTGTTTTTAACGTAGTAAAAATTTGTTTATATCGCTTATTTATTAGTTTGGGTTTGGGAAGATAATTACAGCTATTTATTCAATTTTGGGGTTGATTGTTGTAGTTTATTCTAACTATTATTTTGGCGGTAACAGTTTTTAATTTGTTTACTTCATGTATTTATTTGGATTGATTATCTTTATTTGTTGGGGTTTTTTTTTGTTTTTTTTGGGTTTTTTTTCTAACGGTTAGTTTATCGGGATCGGTTTGTTAGTTTATTTATAGACTACCCACAATGCACAACTGACCCGTATATATAAATAGCCGAGAAAAATAACAGCACTCGTGGCCTGACGATTGCATCTAGCATGAAACAGACTGTCGCCTCTAAGTGTTGACTTCTATGTTCACTTTTATATTATATATGCGCAATACTTAAATGCAGCGATCAATTTTGAGTTCTGTAGTTTATTATTGCCTATCGCATGTACTTCTCCCTATCTATTGCGATGAAAACACAATCAATTGCCCTCCGCAGTAACTAACTTATTTTATGTGCGACTTTTGCTGGATTTCGCAATTAATTTCGATTATTCCCAAATTTACCGTACAAAAAAAAAAATTCGTCGCAAAAAAATCACTTAAAAATGTCGCCGGAAACAATCGCAGTAATGAATACTTGGAAATCCAAAATTTCTGGATTGAGGGCCCGGAATCGGCCCAGAATCTTTTTAATTTGTTTTGCTCACGAAGTCTGTCTGATTCCAAAATGGTATGATGCTGGGCTACTGCCTCTAGGGGTAAAGTTAAAAAAAATGTGACACAGTCAGATATATATATATATATATATATATATATATATATATATATATATATATATATATATATAATGTCATTGAATACGACAGACAAGGTGCTCTTATTTAGTTTTTTATACAATGTCTCATACGATCTAATATTTTTTCTTCTTTTCAGATGATAAATTATATAAAAACTGTCCGAATGTTCTTTTTATCCAAGCGCTTTCGGCTATGCATTTAACCATTTTCAAGGATTAAATATTTTAACTGTTAAATAAGAAATAGTTTGCTGTATGTATGTTTTATAAAATGCTTTCATTTTTCAAAACACGTTCAATATATTGTGTCCATGTTCAAAGCTAATATTATTAAGTGTTGTTTTTTTTTATTCATGAGGCTTCCATTAATTTTAGCATTTTTTTTTTTTTTTTTTTTTTTTTGCATGTAGATGATGCTATTATATTAGTGTATTAACTTTGAACATTTTATAAAACATACTTATAACATACTATTTCTTATTTAACAGTTAAAATATTTAATTGTTGAAAACGGTTAAATGTATAGCCGAAAGCGCTCGGATAAAAAAAAAACATTCGGACAGTTTTTATATAATTTATCATCCGAAAAGAAAAAAATTATTAGATCGCAAGAGAAATTGTATAAAAAAACAAAATAAACGCACCTTGTCTGTCGTTTTCAATGAAATGTGAATGAAAGAAGGATTGCTGCCTAAATAATACACAAATATATATATATATATATATATATATGCGCTGAGGTTTTTTGCCGCCATTCTTCGTCGGTGATTTGCGTTGGTCCAGGCGGAAAGTGCAAACTTTCGACATGTGTTCTTTTGCTCTTGCAGTGAGGCCGCCGCAGCCCCACCCACATTCCCCTGTTTGTCTTTTGTAATTCTTCTGATTTGGTTTCAAACCATCCCCCGTCCCCGGAAACCTACGCACAAATGTTTTTTTTTGTGTATGCGCAAGAGCGTCTGACTACATAACGCGTACACTGAGTGTATCTTTCCATGCATGTAGCACCCCCCAGACTCTCACACCCACGCAAGACGTTCCCTCCCTTCATTACTAATGTGAAAGACAAAACCGAATTTATTACGGCTAAAACTCTCAGGGTCAAGATGATACAGACTGCCTTTCCAGTTCCTCTCATCTTTTATACAAACGAGATAAAGATACCGAATGATATTAACTCATTTCGATGGGTGATAAGAGCAGCCATTTTGATAATTATTACATGAGAGTAAAGCTGGTATATAGGATTAATAAAAATAAAATTTATCACTTGGTTGGTTGATGCTATCTTCAGTATGCTATATATATATATATATATATATATTATAATGAATCATTCATACAAAAAGTAAATTAGTAAAGTTAATGATATAAAATGGCGAAATCCTTTCGCTAACAAAATTTTAAAGATGCATTAACCATTAATGAATGTTATGATCCTTGATTTTTAAAATTATAAACTGTATTATGTCTTCCCTAAATGCGCAAGTACGTTCGACTGTACATTCAGTCATCTTCCGGTATGGAAATTATTTTGTTTATTTTTACCAAAGTAAAATTGTTTTTTTTTCCCAAAAACAAAATAATTTCCATGCCTCATAACGTCGAGATGCCCAAATGATTTTCTAGACGTAGCTTAGATGTGGCACACGCCCGGGAGTGTGAGGCACCCAATGAGGATCGAACTCACTATTTAGTCGTAACTGCTTTAGCGAGACAAACTTGCTAACCATTATACCACGCCGAGGTGCCTGCATAGCATTAATATGAGCATGAATGCTAATTTGGCAGAACAAATGGCAAGTTAACTTACGATATGGGGTGAGAATTTTGAGAACACAATTTAGTATTGTTTAATGTAGATATTTTGAAGGTAAGAACACGGTTAGAAAACCGATTTAAAAAAATAGAATTAATTTATAGTTTTGCTTATCACCGGAGGGCATGGTCGAAAGTGTTGACTTCAGACGTTTTCTTGTCCGAAAACAAAAGTTAGCTAAAAAAAAAAGTTTCCTTGTTTTGGAACTTTAATCATATGCGCATTTCTGCGTGTGTGTTTACCACTAATGTTATGGTTTTCTTGCAACTAAAAATTTTATTAAAGAAAGGTACTCAATTTATTGCAATACGTTTTTTAAAATTTACTTAAAGTCAGTTGTCATTATGCTTCGGCTTCCATAAACAAGTCTCTTGTTTTAATTTCATTAGAACATTCTTAGTGGCTTTGATTGAAGTTGGCTGCCAACGCCATCTATTGGCTGCCAACGCCATCTATTGGCTGCCAACGCCATCTATTGGCTGCCAACGCCATCTATTGGCTGCCAACGCCATCTATTGGCTGCCAACGCCATCTATTGGCTGCCAACGCCATCTATTGGCTGCCAACGCCATCTATTGGCTGCCAACGCCATCTATTGGCTGCCAACGCCATCTATTGGCTTTCGCCCGAATTGCTGCCAACGCCATCTATTGGCTTTCGCCATCTATTTGCTGCCAACGCCATCTATTGGCTTTCGCCCGAATTGCTGCCAACGCCATCTATTGGCTTTCGCCCGAATTGCTGCCAACGCCATCTATTGGCTTTCGCCCGAATTGCTGCCAACGCCATCTATTGGCTTTAACAGAAACAACAAAAAGAAACGTTTTTTCCTTCTTTCCTCCCATTCAGTTTTAACTGCAAAATGAACAACTGTCATTTATTTCCTGCAATTTTCTTGCTATTCTTGCATACACTTACGTTTCAAATAGACGGAGTGAATAGAATAAAAAAAGTGGCTGGATATTCTAAATAATGAAACGCTTTTTCCCCAGAATGGTCGTAGCCTAATTTAGGAGGTGGGTGGTAATTACCTAAATATTTAATAACGGGAGTGGTTTGAACGAGGATGGTCTGGATGAATTTTTCTCTTAAAAACCAAATAATAATAATTAGCCTCATTAACATCATCAATGTAGTCGCGACGTGTCTATTTGAAATGCATGTCTCTCTTCATTCGCTCACTCTCGTGTGTGTGTGTGTGTGTGATTTGGGTGTTATTCTTCGAGATTTAGGGTCATATAACACACCCAGACCATCACAGCGATTTACTAAAACGTAACATAGATGTTGCACAAGCCCAAATGTATGGGCACCCAGTGAGGATCGAACTCGCTACTCGGCCATAATTAATCCAGTGAAACAACCTTTTCTCATCATTTACACCACGTTGAAGTTTCTAATCACGGCTTAGATGTGGCACAAGGCCGAAGTATGTAGCACTTAGTGAGGATCTAACTAACTACTCGGCTGTAATTCATCTCAGGAGACGAGCTTGCTAACCATTACATCCCGTCGAAGTGCCTTCACACATGCACACGTATAGGTACTTCCCACAAAATAAAAAATAAAAAACGATGCCTAAGGTTTAAATGCATTTTAAAAATGAAAAATCTTTCTTGAAGTTTTTATTTTAGTTTTAATTTCAGGCTAATAGATTAAATTTAATATTTCCAATATGCAAAATACTTTGTTTTATTTTAAACTGAATTTAAATTGATTGGAATGATTTTTCTTTCTTTTGCATTATCAGCAAAATCGTTCATATTGACAAATCTGTCAATACAGTATAATTGTTTTTGTTTAAAAAATCTTTCAAAAATAAAATATACTTTTCTGAAACTATATTTGAGGAAAATTAACGGAATTAATTAATCTGAATTAAAACAAATATTACATACCTTTTTGTTCAAAATATCAGTGACAAACATTTTTTTTTTTTTTAACACGGATGTGGGTGTTTTTATAAGGTGTTGACATATCTATCGGTTACCTTGTTACTCATGTTTGCAAGTCCGGATTTAAGGGAGGAAAATTGTAGTAAAAATACATAACGAATACAATGTAAACGCCTTTTTTACATAATGTTTTAACTACCCAGTAATCGCAAGTTTAAAATATTTTAAACATTTCGAAAATTTTAATGAATTTATGTACTTTCCTTTTTATAGTTTTATTTACGAAGACGCTCGTTGAGTAAATTACCAATAAATTTTAAATTTACTATAGCTACCGCTCTTAATTATTTTTTTTAAAAATGAAAACAATTGTTGTAAAAATTCATTATTCGGCGAAAAAAAAATGTATTTTCTTAAGACAATAGTATCCATAATATATTTTATTCATAAAAATGATTAAAAGCTTTTTTTATTAAATAATGTGTTTAATATTACTACATTTTTTTTTTTTTTATTATTTTGCAATTCTGGGCAGACTTTCTATAACTGCGGATCCTGTTTGACCAAAAATATTTCATAATTTATATTCTCCTACGACTTATCCTTACAATTAATATAAACAGTAAGCGTAACAAAAATGAATTTCACGAAATTTCATAAAATTAAATGAGTGTGAGGTTAACAGATGAAAAAAAAATACTAAGATTTTCTAAAAACTTTTATCCTTGTTTTGGTGTGAGGAACCTGCCCCCCTCCCCAAGTTTTGAAAGTAATTTTGAAATTTTGAAAGTAGTTTTGATACACCCTATATATATTATATTATAGTTAAGTCATGAAAAACTTGGTAATCTGTTTCATCTTTCATTTCATTTTTTTGGAAATGTTATCTGATGATCCAGCGTCCCTTAAAAGGGCTCTGGTGAAATAAATTATTATAATGGAACCTTAAAGTGGTCTGTTTTTCTTTAAATTATATATATATATATCCAAACAAGTTTGATTAAAATGAACCGACAAAGTCTGTTTGATTTAATTTATTGTAATTTTTCTATTTTCGAACCGTTGCACTCTTCTTTATTGCCATATTCACTACGTTTCGGCCGTTGTACGCTCCGGCCTTCTTCTGATGATTGGGATTTCAAACTGAACCCTTTATTTCGTCCACCGGAGTAGATTGTTCTAGTTCCACGTGCTATGCCTATTTCGGATGTCTTAGTTATCTCCCTTTAACTCAAATCTACAAGTTTTAATTCACCACTGCAGTAACCAAGTATTGAACTCAACTCTCTGGGTCAAGTCACTGGATCCAAGCAACCCTTTTATCCACTTGGCCATCTGTTCTTGGGGATTGTTCTGGAAGTTGTGAATAAAGCATTCGAAGTTCAAGTACTTTCGACTTTTGCATTCATTATCAATGCTAAATCATTTCAAATAAGCAACTTCCTCAAAGGATATCAGGATGCAGACAAAGGGATTCTACTACACAGACACCAACTCGGTTCTTGATAATGACTGCTAAAATCGAAAGTACTTGAACAAAAATAACAAGATATGAACTTTGGACAGTTTATCTACAACTTCGTGCACAAAACTCAACACCTTATGCGAAAATTGTAAAAATACAAAAAAAAAAAATTAAACAAACCGACCCTGTCAGTTCTTTTTAATCATACTTGTTTGGATGAATACTTGCTGCCTAAATATGCCATATATATATATATATATATATATATATATATATATATATATATATATTACACCCCTACGTTGGCAGTGCAACTCAGAGTTTCATGGTTACACAATTCATCAAGTATAAATGAGTTCGTTTACCATTTGTATCTGATGAGTTGAGTAACCATGAAACTACAAATGTAGTTATACGTGTATTTATTAATACATACTCTGGGCACCTCGCCGTGGTGTAATGGTTAGAAAGCTTGTCATACTAGATCAATTACGACTGAGTAGTGAGTTCGATCCTCACTGGGTGCCCCATACTTTCGGCCTTGTGTCACATCTAATCACTATTAATACATACTCTACAGCTCTTGTTTAACTACATTAACCACTGTTTTTTTACATCTTAAATACATATTTATTTGCTCATCTGTATATGTACGTAATGACACGCACATCTTATTTAGCTTATGTTCACACTATATACACACACACACACACATGTGTGTGTATGTTTAGGCAGCATATCTTCATTCAAACGTTTCATTGAATAATATAGATATATTGTGTCTACTTATTTTTATATTGATCCTTTTCTGTTGTCTAATTAGTTTCTTGATGTTAATATGAAATTCATCAAGGAAGGCGCTGTAGTTTTGGGGGTTTTTTTTAACCCAAGTACTTTTAACCTTTTCTAAAATCATCAAAGGTAAATTTCAAAGACAACATATTGCAACTGCAATAACATCTGTATTCCATTGTGATTTTTAAAATCACGCGCGAACGCCCTGTTATAACTATTTTTAATTTATCCGTTGTGTGTTTACACACACATATATATATATATATATATATATATATATATATGTGTGTGTGTATGTATATGCTGATGTAGCTTTATGTATATTTTCCCCTCTCTTTTCATTCGTTCTGTAAACTCTAGTTTCAGCTTCATCAATCTAACGTCCCTCACAACCTCTCTCCCGCAAATGTCACTCATACCCTTAACCCCACAACCAGCTAACATCCGGTCCTTAACGAAAAAAAAAAAAAATGCTGCACAATGCTGCTCTTAAAATCTCGTCTGACTCCTCACTTGAATCTAAAACTGTCAAAAATGGTTGTCTGTAAAGTACGTAGCCTGACAGCCTGATACAAACCCAGTAGTACAAACATGAAATAAATGGATCTCGCAAGATCTTACCAAAGTCGCCGGCATTCTCACTTTAAAAAAAAAAAAAAAAAAATAAAACCAAGTCTGAGTTTAAATGGGCACGCTACCCGCCTCTGACGCGTAATAACAATAAAGCGGGCGCTGGGAGAACCTACTAGTCGGCCGTGTGTGTCTCTTGCTACTAAATTAACAGACCTGTGACTATATTCTTTCATTTGCGTGTTGAGCAGCAGGAGTGAAAGGGGCAAAATATAATTTCTGTGTCGCTTGTCGGTAACTTCCAGCCACAGTACACGCGATATGGGAGATGCGGCCTTATACGAGGTCAGCCGTGGGGCCGAAAACGGATTAAGTATTAGCGCTAAGGAAAAAGACAGTAACGCAGAATCCATGACACCTTCGATAAGGAGTAAATTAAGCACTCGTCGAAGACGCACAAGGAGGAATATTACTTATCAATTTGATAAGGTAAGTCTGTCTGATATAGGAATGGATGCTTCGTGAATACGAGAAATTAAGAGGTAATTATTGTAGTTACTGAAATGTTAAACGGCATCCCTTTTTTTTTTTTTTTTTTTTTTTTTTTCCCAGATCTCTTGTCATTTATCCCCCCCTCTCCGATAAAAACAAAAAAAAAAAAACAACAAGTTTTTAAACAAAATATAACCGCTTTAATTTTACGAGTTTGCTACCTGTGCTTTGCCGACGACAAGCTGGTCGTATTTTAAATCTATGGTTTATTTTACTACACTTATTAGCAGGGTCGACGCATATCACCCGACCGGGGAGGGAGCCTGATTTGGGGGCCCGGACAATGCTTTGTGACCTTATCAATATTTGTTTTTTTTTATTCTACATACATCTATATACGTTAGGAATTAAACTAACCACAACTATTATTATAGGTTGTAAAATGTTGATTTTGACGTTGTTTTGGGGTCCTCCCCCTCTCAAATCCGTGAATTTGTATTGCCCATGCTAAGTTTCGAAAAAAGACTTATAAAATTCACTATTTTTTTTTTTTTTTTTTTTTTTTAATCTATAATGTTGAATGTGTTAAATTATTCAACTTTTTAACAATAAAAATCTCAAAACAACTACCGGAAAAC